ACACCATGCTAGGCCATGGGGTACAGAGGGGCACTCTGGTACTGGCTGCAGCGGGATGTGCTTCCAAGACCCCCTCTGACCCCCTAAGGATGGAGGGATGGACCTGCTCCTCCTTTTCCCAGACGCTACAGCCACCCCCAGCTTGAGGTGACCAGTGATCCTGGCTGCCATATAACACTGCCCAGCCCCTGACCTCCGGGTGCCGATGGCAAACAGACCTGACAAAGGGCCCGAAGAGGCTGGGCTCAGATGCGCTCAGACCCCAGGCAGGCTCCAGCCCCTGCGCCCCGTGCCCCGCAGAGCTGCAGGCGAGGCTGCTCATCACCGAGGCCATAATTAGCTCAGGGATTTATGCTGCAAAGGGGCTTTGTAAAGGTGGGGGCAGCATCATTAAAGAAAACAGCAGGGAGCAGCCGAGACTAAGATGAATCCCTCCCCAGTTCATCCCCCAGAAGGGCACTCCTGCTTTCTCAAGAGCCATCATTAAGTGCCGCTGCACTTAATCAAGGGGACAAACGGATCGGCGCTGACAAAGAGGCAGGTCCTACCCGCAAGCCAAGCGCAGTCCGGCGGGGAGGGCACGCCGAAAAGCCGTGCGGCACGAGCACGGGGTGGGGGATGCTGCGAGGCATCGCTTCCGCCCCTCGGTCCCCGAGAGCCAGCACCAGCAGACCACTACCACCTCCCGACAGCCCCGCTGTGTGTGAGAACACAAACCAGTTCATCCAGGAGTGTCCAGGTGCTTCCAGCAAAGGCTCCTACACAGGCTGCTGGCATTAAGGCTGTAGGCACTATGAGTACAGCCCTTGCTGCCATATTTTGGCAGGCCCGGTCCCAAGAGAGGTATTTTCCTACACAAAAAGGGGAAATAGATGACTTTCTCTGAAAGTTTCGGCATTTTCACATAAAGTTCAAATCTGTATGAGTTGTTTGGGGCCTTTCCTGGAGGGGAGGGTGGCTGAATTGGTTCACTGCTCCTTTGTTTAAAGAGAGTTCAAGCAAATCCACTAAAACTGGTATCAACAGCACTCTGAGAATGAAAAGGAATCTCCCCCAGAGCTAATGGTGTGCAGCCCACCTGAGGAAACACCCTCTCCGTTATTCCCCACAGGCATTTTAAAGGATTTCTTGTTTCGAGGTCTTACATGGTTGGGTTTCAACGTTTGCTGCCTACACAAGGGAGAGGAAAAGCAGCAGCGAGTAGGAAAGGGAGTACAAGACCACGGCAGCCCGAGAGCCGCACTGTTCAACATACCCCGGCAGATCGTGGAACTGCCGCCAGCAACCGCAGGAGCAAATCAAAGAATCCACACGGATCCACGTGCAGAGGATGGAAGAGTCAGACAGCCCCACTTTGGTGCAAAAGCAGCATATGGGGTTTGTTTTCCTCTTTGCTGCCACTCAAGTTCCAGCAGTTAAGGCAATCGAGTTACTCAATTTAGATAAGCTTCAGTAGCTAACAGCAATTTAAACAGCTGCCCTGTGCCTCGCCATTCTGTTACCACCTCCTTCTCTCCAAGTGCTAATGCCATTAGCAAATTGACTTCCTCCCTCACACAATCTGTCTGGCTTTAGTATGTACAACGCTAATTGCTTCCTGATCCTCAGGACTGGGAGCAGGCAGTAGAAGTTTGTGCCACAAAAACCCCTCCAGCTGGGAAGTGGTGGCAGGCAGGGTTTGCATGGAGTCCTGCCATCCTCTCCTGCAGGCGAGGCAGACTGGCCAAGGGTGGGAGAAGGAAGTTTAGGCACCATATTACCAATTCAGAGCAGAGAGAGATGCTTTTTTCTGCAATTCAGCCAGCTCTGTTGGGAAGAACAGGGGCAGTGACTAAGAAAACATGCATAATGCAAGAAGAAACAGAAGAAATGTAGGGATGGGGAGAGTATCCTGCTTGGAAGGGTCCTTGCTTCAGCTGCTTTCACTGACCTCCCTGTACCTCTGACCCCCCCTATTCCCTTTTTGTGACCTTCCTTCCCCCCTGCTCAGACTGCTGTCCCTTCCTCCACGCCATCCCCTGGCAGACCTGCTAACGATACACAGCCAACGTCCTTCAGATAGCTGCAAAACTCAGCAAGCATGGGAGGAAAAGTGCCATTTCAAACAGTAACTATGGCAATAAGAGGCCCAGCCCCATCCCTTCTGATAGCTGGACCCACAGTGTCCATCACAGCCCTCTATCTTAAAATAAGCATTAAAAAAATGTATTAATCTTTCCTGCTCTGGGCATCTGGCTCCCCTCAGGGGGAAAAAAAAAAAAGTGAGAACACAGTAAAATGAAGAAGGACCTTTTGGCTCTCAGTCTGACCTCCTCAGCTAAGCAGTGAGAAAATGGATTGTCCTGGAGCCTTCATATAATCTTGCTGCATTTTTAAATGCAGCTGCCCACAGGATGCAAGCAGAATTTACATGACAAAGAGCAGAGAGGCTCTTCCAGATGGGCCAACTTCTCTTTGTTGATTTTAAATATTAGCTCCCAATCCCAGCACATGCCTGTTCCGGAGGTCTCCTCCCAGGCAGCAAAATGGACAGGACAAGAGGAGCAGCATGCAGCTTCCTCTCTGCTGTGATGGGTCTCTCTCATTTATGAAGTTCAATTGCCCGTTTCTTCATGTTCAGTAGGCAAAAAGAGCTCAGGAAGTTGGGGGCGCGTGGAAAGTGCCTATTTCACTTTTCATTAACTGTTTGCATTTTTGCTTATACGTACTAAAAAGGGTGGGTGCTCTTTGCACATGCTGGGATATGGGCTATGGGCTGGGATGTGGGCTACGGGCACCTGCCGCTCAGACACCCCCAGACAGGAGAGATCTGGACCTGCTGAATGCAGGCAGCAGCTCCCGAGGAGGCTGAAACATGGGTGCGTGGTGCTGCTGCTTTTTCCAGGCTGCGGAAAGAGGAGTTTCCCAGGGGTGAGAAGAGTTTCGCAGGACAGAAATCCAGGGCTCATTGGATGCAGAGTTTGGTCAACGTGCTGTTAATCTGGGCAAAAGGCTGAGTCAACGTGCTTCACCCTGCCTAGAAGAGGCTTGCAGTGGTTTTAGCCAAGTTGATTCGTTTTTAAGGTAAAAGAAGCCAGATAACCTAACGCACGTATCAAGGGGGCAGATTAGCAGCAAACCAAGGCGAAACATGGAGTTTACTGTCACTTTTTTTCATCCTGATCTTATAAGCACACTTGAAATACGAAGATCTGATTTCATCTCCCATCCCTGCAGCAGAATGAGGAAGCGATGAAGAGCCCCACCTACACGAATCTCTGTCCCCCGCTCGGGGAGATACTGCTGAGCCTCTGAGCAGGTAACTCTGTCTCAGGGACAGGGGAGCTCTTTGGCAAGGCGAAGGCCTCCTGCATTAACACAAGGTGAATGGACTATTTTGTCATCCACCCTCATTCTAACCTGGTCAGTGGGAAAGCTGTCTCTGGAGCCAGCTTACAGGGGTCCTAGGAATACTCCAGAGCACGAGGGAACAGATTACACTGGAAGTGCACAGGCAGAAGTCTGCCCAGGAGCCTCCCCGAATGCCTGACTGCTACCCAGACTTCAGAGCAGGGAAGCAGCAATGCCCTCAGCAAGCTCAAGACTGGGAAATAGCGGAATAAGGCTCAGAGAAAGCAGCAGATGCTCCTGGCCAAGGAACAGAAGCAGGGAAAAGCACTGCAGAGCCAGAGAGAGCAGCTGAGCGAAGACAAGGCCAGCACTGAGCACAGCAGAAACTTCAGTATCGTGGAGCTGAGTCAGAGGAAACGGATGAAAAACAGAAGCAAGACGATCTTGGACAACTGGATCACCATCTAGGAGCATCTGCCCCATGGGACCGGGTCACCAGAGAGGACACACAGTCCCTTGCTGTCACAGCTGGGTGGCAACCCCCACAGTCCCTTCCCAGAGTCAGCCCAGGCATCAGGAAAGGACCCCGCATCTTCCCAAAAGCATCTTGTCACTGCAGAATGGTTGCCCCCAGCATTTCCAAACTTCTGCTAGGGACTGTGCCCATTGACGTCTCCCGCAGAAAGACGGAAAACTCAGAACCACAAACTGGGAATTCCAGCCCAACGACAAGCTTCCTCCTCCACTCGAACCCAGCGACAACCCCAGGGCCCACTGATCATTGCTCTGACACACGTTTTACCCTCTTCACATGAAGATTGGGCTCAGTGCACTTCAGGCTGGGTTTTTCATACAGGATCCTCTGCAAATAAAGTTGTTACTTCTATATCCATCTCTTTCTGCATTAAAGCTTTTGTTGTTTTGGTTAAAAAAATAATAGTATGCTTCAATCTTTCCTGCTAGTCGTATCATTATTTTCCCAGAATTGGATCTGCTATGCATTCCTGTACTTCAGTTCACAGAAAAAAAAAAAAAGGAAGCTCTTAGTAAATATAGTTGTTTACTGTAAAATAAGAAAGTAGAAAGAGAAGGTACTTAATAGGTCCCTCTGTGGATTCTGCTACCAAGGGGGAAACAATACTCCCTACTGAGTTGCTGCAGGTATTATGCTTAATCACCAGGAAAAATGAAAGCTCCACAAGCCCACTGAACTCTTCCCTTCCTCCTCCTTTAAGGATTTTAGGAATGAGCTCAGCTCTGAGTCATGATTAAAACCACCCAGTTACATTCCTAAGCAGCAGTGCTCAAACTGAAGGTCTGCTTGTTACCCAATGCTGCCCGCTTCGCTGTTCCACACTACAAAGGAAACTGGGCAAGCTCCAGGATATCGCTTGGAGACACTTCAGTGTTTTCTGGGCTCGGGCAGAGGGAGATAAATCTCTCTAGAGGAAGCAGGCGGTGGTGGCCCACCCCTCATGCCCAAACTGTCCCACGGCTGCTGAGACCAGACCACCTGGATTGGATGGAAAGGGCAGCAGCCAGCCAGGAAACCTGGTTTGTAGGCCCACCTTGAAAGCATCCTTCCTTCTACACACCTCCTGCTGGGGAAGTACCACAAAACACCTGAAATACCACATCACTACTAATAGAGACAGAGACGAGTAATTGCATTAAATCCGAGTGCATTTTGCTGCAGCTCTCCTCCTCAAAATCTTCAGCAAGCAGCAGAGAGCCATGCTCACCAAGACCCCTCCTATCAATCCACTTCCAACTCCCACCAAGGCTTCGTAGAACAAGTCTCCTTGCCAAAAGCGAGGCTGCTCTTGCGTGCCGTCGCTGTTGCTGTTGTCTGGTTTGCCTTCCTCCTTGCTCGCTGCCAACTTCTGTTCCCAGGTCAGGGATTTTTGAAAGTTCAGATTCACCAAGTCCTCGCGGATCACTCTGACCCCGAAGTAGACCCTTTGAATGACTCTGAACGTCTTCACCATCCCCACGTCACAGCGGTAAGTCCCCGCATCAGACTCTCTGGTAGGGGAGAATCTGACGACCGAATGGGGGTTTTTGAAAGGTTTGAACAGCACATCGTTGGTGGTGATAAGGCCGTGGGCAAGCCTCCACGCGTAGCTATAGCCTCGGCTACCAACGCCAGCCACAGCCGAGCTCAGGCAGCTGATCTGGAAGGGTTTGCCCGCAGGGACGGTGAAGTGGAGCAAGCCACAAACCCAGTTGGTCAGGCATTCAGACCTGCGCACGGTACAATTCCTCCTCTCTCCGGCGGGAGTGATCTCGCACATCTCCTCCAGCCTGAAGCCCAGGCCACAAGTGGCACTGCAGGAAGTCACGTTGACGGTGACTTTCGCTACGGCCGACTTCAGCTCTGCCGGGATGGTAACTCCTTCGAAGGAAACTACCAGAGGCAGACAGAAAACGCAAGATAACGTCCCAAGGATGCTGCTGTTCCCCAAGGTCTTCATATCAGGGTTATCGGATGCGCTGCTTTCTACAGCCACGCAGATTCAGGAGTCAAAACAAGACAAAAATCAGACTTTGTAAATCTTCGGATTAAGTGTTTCTGAAATCCCACCAGCACCATCTTCAAGACCTAATCCTTCCAGCTGGAAAAATCCTTTGACAGGCTTGAAGCACAGCACAGCTGGAAAAGATGCAACACTTCACTGTACCGGTCAGAATGTAAATTGTGAATTCCCTTTCTTGCAACAGGGCAGCAGAATGTTTTAATCTGCTATATTCCAGCAACTTGGATATGCTGACAATTTAAAAAAGATGAGCCCTCCCTTCTCTGTAAGGTTTTACATACTACTATAGATCAATTTCCACTGTAAAGTAGTATTGATCCAGTTTAGTTTTCCCAAACTACGAAACAATATAAGCAATCACTACTTTAAAATAACATTGTTGAGCATCAGGAAACCCTAATTCCTTACACAGCACCTATACAGCTCTGTCTTATATATGCATACCCCAAAATCTAAAGTACTATAAATCACCGAGATCAGGAACACATTTCAACCTCTGGATAGTCTGACGGCACTGCCATCAAAGGCCAGCTGAAGAGTGTTTTATCACTGACGGTATCCACCTCAGTGAGCTCACGACCATCAGAGCGGTGCCGATGTCACAATCCAGCTGCCAGTCAGAACGCAGCCCCAGACCTTCCGAGGGAGAACAAAGAACTCCCCTACGCCTGAGGCCGAAGCCAGCCCTCTGGGGTGAGGACTCAGCATAAAAGCACCGTGTCAGGCTCGTGACACCCCCCGTCAGACTCGAGGGATCCAACAGCGCTGGCCTTGCGGCATCAGCGCGAGCCTGGGCCCCGTGCTGCGTCACGTGCAGCCGCTGACTCCCCAGAGTGAGCTGAGCCAAAAATCTCCACATTTGACCGGTGTGTCTGTAAACAGAAACCACTCATACACCCAGAATAATTCCCTTAGTGCTCAAGCGTTCCCAAAGGATGATGCACTACTAAAAAACTTCTTCATGTAAAAAGATCCAAGTTACATTATTTTTGATGGCGTAACGGAACTGTGGTCAAGCCAGTTCAGTATTCCCCGTCTCCTTCCCAGCAACTGCATTACGGATTGGGAAAGGATATGGACTGCCATGTTCTTCAACAGCTCTGCTAATGAATATCCATACCTCTCTCCTTAGCAATCCTTAATTCATTAAAATGAAGACTTCTAGCATGTGGATTCTCCACACTGTTTCCCTCGAGGTGCACTCTGCCCCCGGCACGCTCTGTGTTCCGGTCCCCTTTCACACGTATCCGAGAGCCCAAGCTGCACTGGGGTACGCAGGGCTTTTATCAGCCCACAGACTTCCTCCTGTCCCTTGGAAAAGAGATCCTCAACCAAATGCCACCCCACAAAACCCAAACACACCACCCCAGCAGCGGCGAAGGCACAGTGGTTGCCTTGGCAGCGGACCTGCCTGGGAGGATTCCTAAACATTGTCACCATATAAACAATCACGGAAGTATGGAAAAGCCAAGACTTACCCATGGAGGTTAGGAAATAAAACATACCTCTTTATTTACAAACACAAAAAACTAACATCACTGCTATAAACTACCAGTATCCGACAAATATTGTACAAAACTACAGATACCACAAAATAAAATAGAAGGTGGAAGAAGATAAACCGAGGACATATACACTGTACAGAGCAGTTTTAACAGAAACGAAGGCTGGAGGCTGCGGCAAATTATATGCTTTAAAGTAATCTAGAGAACCATTGCCTGTGCATCTTTTAAAGCTTGTGGGCTCAGCCCCACCACACAGCGGTGGATTTACAGAACAGCTTTCCAGGGAAGATGCGAGTCATCCTACAAGCAGAAAGGACAAAGAAAACCACTATGGGAATGGTGAAGCAGGCCACTGTACCAAAGCTGGAAATGAAAACGCCCCATTTTTTCAAAAACCTACTGATTTAAAGTGTCTCCTCTCCTCCCACGCTTACATCTCAGGCAACTACTGCACACTTCTGACTGCAAGTTAATAAACCTCTTCATGACTCCTCTTCCTGGCTTTTAATGTCTCCAGGATACTTTGAAAATTTAAATACGTGGTGATAATCTCAATAATTACAACTGGGGAAATACTGAAAGTAATGGCATAGGAACCATGAAAGTCTACAAAACAAGGGGCATTAGGAATGAAAACTTTCCTTTCCCAGGCAGTTGGTCTAGTAGAGAGAGGTGTCAGGCTGTAGGAAGAGGGTCGAGAAAGCATTTCTTCCCAGTCCCACAAGGAAAACATTACAACAATCTTTAAGGAGGAAAAGGTGAAAGCACGGCTGGGCATGAGCTGTTAGCATTCGTCTTCCTTCCCTTCTCGATCCAGGAGTGTGTGTGGGGGGCAGGAATAATGAAACACTTCCAGTTCAGAGAAATACTGGCTCTGTTTCCCCTCTGCCTGCCAGCACCACCAGCTGAGGAGGAAACCAGTTGTTTCTGGAAGGGCATCTCAAGGGAAAGCAACAGAACAAACACACTTGCAAGGACAGAAAGAAACCGCCAGCACAGCTTTTCGTGTCACAGCAAGCACATAGAGTGAGTAGTTTATCTAGAGCTACTTTCACTTGTCCCTTTTCCCATAAGGGGAGTCATCCTTCATGTCTAAAGTACTCCCAATACAAAGGTTTCACTCTTTGCAGACTTCCGAGGGTGTCTTGGTGCTTCCCATTAGCTCTCTATCCCCTTGAGGTGAAAGCAGCCCTGGCACGCGATCGGCAGCGATGCTTCGCTGAGCACGGCAGCCCAGGAGACGTCACGCTGGGCTAAGAAAAGCTGGGGAGGGAATGCAGCTGGCACAAAGGGCTCACGGCTCACCGAAACCAAAATCAACAGCCAAGAAGGGGAAGTTTGCAGGATACACAGTCAGACAGCATCAGGAATAAAAATACACGCTTTGGGAATTCTTCAATCCAGGAACAAAACACAAAAATATATATATATTTAAAAGCCAATGGCTGATCAGCTGTGGAGTGGCAGTGTCGGGTACCAGCTCCCTTCCGAAACAGTTACGTCTGTCAACACAAACGCAGTCCAGTCAGTCTCTTTGCAAACGGCACGACCTGAGAGTCAGCATCTCACACTGTTCGACGAAGAGGCAGTTAAGGAGGAATGAAGGCCGTTTCCTCTTCCATGTCTTACAAAAGTCACTCCCTGAATCCATGAACAGTCTGCTGTATTAGTCAGTCCACTCTGACTAAGCATTTCATCTATTTTCCACATTACGGTGCCAATATAGGAAAGAATACAGGAAGATAAAGAAGAGTGTCTTCATAGCAATTCTGAGATTGCACCACCTGCTAAAGAAATCAAAGACAGGTGAAAAATAAGTAACCAGACTCAAACAGATGTTACCAGAAACCAAAGACCACCAAACACGGCAGCATTTCCAGGAAAAAAAAAAAAAGAAGAGACAGAGAACAAGATTTTGTAGAGAGAGGCGTTGTTTTCAGAATGAGACATTACCAAGGCACTACCTATGACAAATTAAGACCCCCCAGTCCTTCTGCGTTCGCATCTGAGATCTCGGGCGCCGGCGTGGACCAGGTGACTAAGGAACTTGGAGCTTTTACTCCACAAAGCTGCAAGCAAACTTACCTGGTGTCAATTTTTTTGATTAATCAAATCCCAAAAATCCCAGAGCAAAAGCACAACTGAAGGTAAGTTTCACCTACGTTTGGGTTAAACCTGACTGCGGTAAGATTTTCTTCTAAAAGTATAAAATGGATTAAACTTCTCAGTTTGTTTATACTGAAACCTGATCTTGACAACAGCAGCTTTAAGATTAAGAGGTTTACTGCCCGACTGCACAGCACAGCGACTCAGACACACTTGCACTGGGCTCCAAGCTCCAGCCACGCAGCTTGCAGGACGACACCGCGTTACGGCGTATCAGCAGTTTGCAGAAGAGAAATGGTTTTCGTGTGACTGTTTCAGCGACTGATGAGTTACTTCGGAAAGCAACAGCCCAAGGAACTAGCAGAATTAACAGCTTCATGCGCGACAGACAAAAAAGGCAGCCTGGCTCCAGGAGCCCAGGCAGGTGGCTGTTTCAATCTGGAGGTGTGGATCTGCATGTGGTGTGACACCAGCAACCCCACGAAAAAACTGGTTGCCCAAAGCGAGCGCGAGCCATAAAGAGAACGAAGGCAGACGTGGACTGCAAGACTGCTGTGAGTTTGGAAAGATCCAAGTGACAGTTTCTTTCAGTGGACAACCTGTTCTTGCTATAACACGACTCACACAAACATTTCCAACACTGGCTACCGAGATCCACCGCATGGATCTGTTAGATCCTCTGAAGGCAACGGTACAGAATCCCAGCGTGGTTTGGGTTGGAAGGGACCTGAAAGGCCACCCCGTGCCATGGGCATGGACACCTTCCACTAGCCCAGGTTGCTCCAAGCCTCATCCAGCCTGGCCTTGGACACTTCCAGGGATGGGGCATCCATCGCTACCACAGAAACTCACAATAACAGGTCCTAAAGAGAGACAGGAGTCCATCACAGCAATATTATCAGCCGAGATCTCAATCAAGCTGAACACCACCACCATGGATAAGCACCTTAAAAGTGCTTACAGACAACCAGGGCTAAAAGTAAATACTAGAAAGCTCTACCATCCCCAGTAGATGGGTGAAGTAAGTGGGGAATTGGGCTCTCAACCCATTTGTTCATAGGAAAACAAAAATTTCCATTTTACAGCATCCAAAACCCAAAGCTAACTGCAGTGGCGCAGGTATGCACATCCCAAGCTCAGCAGCAGTCAAATCCCACTTTTCTAGCCCAGTCAGACCATATTATAACAACTGCATGGGAGCGTTAGAAGCAAAACAGCACCAAAATCCTCCCAAACGTGGCTTTGCAAGGACGTGTTAAAACACAGCATGAAAGGGTCAGTCTAGAACGTCGTTTCACTGGAAACATGTTAGAGGAAACGGGAGTGTTACTTTCCCAGCTCTCAGAACAGATCAGTGCAGCAGTGACGAGCAGCGAGAAGGTACACTGAGGTTACACATGCAGATCGAGGAAATTAGTAAACCAAGCTGATAAACAAAGTTACATGAACGTACCTGCAAAGAGCTGGAATGAAAATACTTGCTATTAAAACTACCGCTCCCAAAACAGACCGCTTACACAGCTACTCCAACACGGCCACGTCAAAACCCTCCGCACCGGGATTTTGAAGCAAATGACTGAAATTCAGTCATTTCAGCTGTGGGAGCCGCATTGTTACGTTTCCAGTGCACGATCCTTTCTCATTTACATCCTTTTGCATACGGTCACGTTAATTAGCAGCATGATAAAAGAAAGCAATCCACGGGCCTGCTGATGAGACTAACGGATATACTAACGCGGACTTCAAGCCGGTGGTGTCCATCCGGTACGGCACCACAGAGCGGGCAGGATGCGTGAAATGCCAGCAGAGACACCCGAGGATCCACACGCTCCAGAGAACTCCTTACTATCAGACTTTAAAACACACTGGATGCCCCTAACGACTTCAGAGATCGAAAGAAACTCACCCTGTCTGGTAAATCTGACACTAGAAGCTAATCGGTACCTCCCAGGCCACAAACAAGGCCTAAAGCTATTCCTGCCTGTTTCATTTCTGGATTTTCCAAGGTGCAACATGAAAGGTTTACACGGAAGTCCAGAAAACACCCGACACGTTTTTGCGTGTATAGACTAAGTTTCATCCCGTTCCCTTTTTGCACGAACAGGAATTATCAGTACTGGTACAAGGAACATACAGGAGCTGAGCAGGAAGGACAATGAGTAAGGTGAGGAGCACAGGACCAGCAGTGAGGGAAGGAAGGTGGAAATAAAATCACTTCTGCTCAGTCTAAAATCCACACCAGCAACTGCTGAGTTCAAGGAAATGCAAAATTTGCTATATCAGTTACACTGTGTCTTTGAAACTGGTGATGTATCAACCCTGAGCTGTTCATTATAATCGAAGACAGAGTCCACATCACCTCAATCCAAACATGGTCTTTGTTTGCTGCATTCGAATGAAATTTTCCCAGACAAGCAGCTGAAATAGCAAATGAGACAGATAGGACACACTGAAGTCTGAGACTAAGCCTGGTCCCCCACAAAGATGACTGCAACCGTCCTGTTCTAGCCCACAGCCACCAAAACAGGACACACAAAAAAGGAGAAAAGTCCACCAAAACCTGCTCTCATTTACAGCAGCTGGGCTTTCTGGAATTTCACTAGGGCTGCTGCGTAGCTAGAAAAATCACCTCCTGAATTTTACCTCTTTTATCACATGCACCGTTCCCGATGCTCCACTTCCCAGTTCTGCTTACGGACCTTTTCCTCACCACCTGCCCAGCATGGATGGCACAACTTCACTACTGACATTCCTCCCCCTTCAAAACTGACCCACCAAAACCCAACATTATTAGAGTTTATATAAGAGTTGATCGAAGTTATGGAAAAGCTTGAAGTTATCAAAAGATTTTTTGCTTTTGAAATAGTGCTCAGGCCCTATTAAAACCCTACACACCCTTTATAGGCAGTAACACAGGCATGGGCAGCAGTTCCAACAGACCAACTGAAAGCACTGTCACTAGAGTGTGACATTTTGCCTATCCCTGACAGCAGCTAAGCGTTCAGTGAGCAAGTGCCAGTTGGGAAGACAAAGTGCTGCGACCGTATTATGTCAGGGTCTGTACAAAGCAAGGCCACCAAGCAAGGCAACGACGCTCACGCTGGGTTCCTTACCTGTCAAAGGCTGTCCCAGCTCCGCCTGCACTTTACCCTTCGCTGCTCCTTCCAGAGGTAAAGCACCTCTGTCCCCTTTGTAGAGTTTCGGTTTAAATGGAGAATCTTTGTCTTTACCTTTTGATCCTTTAGGCCTGCCTGCTTGCTTCTTCTTGGATTTACCATCTCCCTTCACACCCAGCAGTGGATGGACTTCTGTGGAGAGACAATGTGTTAGCACAGGGCGTTATCCCTTAAGATGCTTCTACCAACACACACAGCCCTTGGTGTTGGGGATTGAAAATTACAGTTTCAAAACTTAAACGTTAACAAAACTACAAACATTTCAAGATTTAAAAATTACAGCATTAAGAGTTAGAGTTTCAGGATGCTTTTACTCACTCCTAGCTTGCAAAACACCAGCACATTTGCAGAGTTGGGAGCTATTAATAACTCTTAGAATCCTAGAATGGTTTGGGTTGGAAGGGACCTTAAAGATCATCGAGTTCCAATCCCCCTGCCATGGGCAGGGACACCTTCCACTAGACCAGGTTGCTCCAGGCCTCATCCAGCCTGGCCTTGGACACTTCCAGGAATGGGGCATCCACAGCTTCTCTGGGCAACCTGTCCCAGTGCCTCCCCACCCTCTCCTGTTGTCACCTGTTGTAAGACGTGACTTCAAAGGAAGAAGAAAATTAAGGAGTGACCTGAATTTTTGGTCTTCAGGCAAAGCTAAAAACCAACTCAGATGCAGAACAGGCACTGACACAACAGCAGCATCTACTCACCATCGTTAGGTACTCCTTGGAGTTCAATGTTGGTGGTTTTGGGCTTCTTCTTTGGTGCCTGAGGGCCATCAGAGGAGGACTGCCTCTTCTTCTCAGAACCTATCCCCTCATCAGCTAGAGAACTCTGAACCGCATCTGGTGGGGGTCCATAGGGGTTTTCTTCTGGATCTTCAACCTCAGGAGCGATGGGCAAGTAAAGCAGAGCCTTGGAGTCCTCCAGTTCTTCATCGCTGTGAAGGAAAAAGATTTAATTTAACAGGAGGTTATTACACCATATTATACAAGGAACACTAGCGATCTATTCTGTATTCATGCTTTAAGCAAAATACTCTTTCACCTGCTACAGAAGGCAGCGATGGGATCCACACTAGTTACATCCACTTCTTCATCTTCTGCCGCATCAGCACCTGAGAACCAGGGAAAGAAGATGCATTAAAGACAGTAAGGAAAAGACCAAATTACTTAGAAATAATGTTACTGACTGTGCTTCAATGTCTAAGCAGGCAGCAGTAAGAATTAAAGCAGAAAACAAACCTAAAGTATTACCTCTTAAATTCACCAGGTTTTTATTTTTCCATGTTTTAATACAGACCTATTGCTACAAAACATTAGTAATGCAGCTAGATAATATATTTAAATCTTCTAAGTGTCTTGTTTTCACTGAACTAGTTCTACATCTGATGAGATTTATTCTAATGCTTCATTCCCAGCAGCCAACGCTACACT